CTTATGAAGTTGGCTCATTTTATTCCTATTAACATCAGTTTTCCAATGTCGAATTTGGCAAAGATTTACACTAGTGTAATTGTAAAGTTGCATGGTGTTCCTTTGTGTATTGTGTCAGATAGAGATATGAGGTTTACTTATGATTTTTGGAAGAGTCTGCAAGAGGTGTTGGGTTCTAAGTTGAGGTTGAGTTTGGCGTATCATCCTTGGACGGATGGTCAAACCAAAAGGACTATTCAGTCGTTGGAAGATTTGTTGAAAGCATGTGTTCTTGAGTAGAGAGGTTCGTGGAATACTTATCTTCCGTTGATAGAGTTCACTTATAATAACAATTACCATTCTAGTATTGAAATGGCACCTTTTGAAGCGTTGTATGGCCGGAGATGTAGAACTCCTTTATGTTGGCATGAATCTAGAGAAACTGTAGTACTTGGACCTGAAATTGTTTGAGAGACTACTGAGAAGGTGAAGTTAATTCGAGAAAAGATGAAAGCTTCCCAAAGTAGACATAAAAGTTATCATGACAAGCGAAGGAAAGATTTATAATTTCAAGCATGGGACCATGTGTTTATGAGAGTTACACCTGTGACTGGTGTTGGGCAAGCATTAAAGTCAAGAAAGCTCACTCCTCGTTTTATTGGTCCGTATCAAATTTTGGATAGAGTTGGGAATGTTGCTTATAGAGTGGCTTTACCGCCTAATCTTTCGAATTTGCATGATGTGTTCCATGTGTCACAACTCCAGAAGTATATTTCAGATCCATCTCATGTGATTCATATGGATGATGTTCAAGTACGGGATAATATTACTGTGGAGATGATGCCTGTATGAATCACGGATCGTGAAATGAAGACTCTAAGAGGCAAGGAGATTACTTTGGTGAAAGTAGTATGGCTAGGAGCTGCCGGAGAAAGCATGACGTGGGAGTTGGAAAGCAAGATGTGGGACTCTTATCCAGAGTTGTTTGACTGAGGTAAATTTTCGAGGACGAAAATATTCTAAGTGAGGGAGAGTTGTAATGCCCGTTTATTTAATTAATTACTTAATTAAATCATTTTTGGATTATTTGTTGAAAGATTGTGAAATATTGAGAATTGTTGGTATAAGTTGTTATATTATTATTAATTAATTACTTAGTTGATTAATAATAATGTTGGAATTAATGGAACAATTGTGTTGGGCTTATGTTATTGGTTGGAAGTAGTAATAAGTGAGGTGTGTAAGTTGAGCCCATTAGGAGTAATAATATTATTATTAGTTTAATTATAATAATAGAAATTAGGTTAATTAAAAAGGGTTAAGAGAAAGAGTAGAGAAAGTATTGTACGTGAGAAGTTGCAGGGAAGAGGAATAAGGAGAAGAGGCACAAGGCTAGGTTCGATCAGAAGATTATAGAGCAACCTTCAATCCAAGGTAAATGTGGGGTTCTGACTCTATAATGGGTATATGGTGCATATTGCGTAGGAATTGGGTTGTGTAGAATTGTTGTTGTGTGTGATTGTTGTATTGAGCAATTTGTTGTTTGGTATCTGTGATAATTATACTAATGTTACAGTGATTCAACCGATGAATCGAGTGTTGGAAATCATCATATATTAATGTGGGTATAGTTGTTATGTTATTGTGAATACATGTAGTGTTGGTCTGAAACCATGGGAAGGGGAAGACTGTTAATCGTAGGGAAGTTACAAAACTAGGAGGATTTGTGGATGGTGTACCGAGTGGCACATGAATGGTGATGAAGGGTTCCGACCGACACCATGTTTTGTACCAAGGGGCACGAGTATGATCTGTGTCGAGGGGCACGGTTAAGCCTTCCAAGGGGAATAAACTCATTCAGTGTCTCCTTTAATTGTTTCTGTGTGTCTGTTACTTAGTACTTAGTTACAGAAATGTATGTAGCATGATTAGAAAAGAATGAAATGATAGCAGAGGCTATTTATTAGTAACAGAAAAGTGAATAATTGCAGAGTTAGATCATGGCAGCAGTAATTTACGAAAGTAACAGTAGTAGATATTTAGCAGGTAAGATTAATAAGTTACATAATGGTTTTAGTTGCAGAGCTAGTAGCAAATAACAGAAACAACAGTAACCAAAATATAGTAGCAGTAGAGATAATTTAAGCAACAGAAAAATAATAGCTTCATTAATTTAGCAGAAAACTATTAATAAGGCTTATCAGCAGAATAATTTAGCAGAAGTGTTTTAGTGGGACAATGTTAATAATAGTATTGGCAGGTGTAAGTTGTTGTGTTGTTGTTATTAATTATTGAAGTTGCAGGTGATGAATCTTGTTGTGTTGCCTCTATTGACTGACAATTAATGAGTTGCAGGCTTATACCAATGTTGTTATATGTTGTTGTTGTTGCATTTAATCATGTTGTCGTATACATGTCATATCATGTTGGAGCTGATGCTCGTTAAGTTGGTCTGGATGGGCAAATATAAAGTGAAAGGCTTATGCCTTGTTGCTGCCTCTATTAATTGACAAGTTATTAAGTTGGGACTTTTCCTTCATTGGTACCACATGCATGTGTATAAAAACGAGTCGCGTTTCACGTTGCATATTTGAGTTGTTGTGTTGATGAATTAATCGTTATATTTTGTTGATATTTTGTCGTGATTGCTGTTGTTTATAAGTTGTGAAGCGGTGATTTTGCATGAACCGATTCCAATATAATGTTTATCATATGTTCACTTATATTGTTAGATATCTCACCCCTTCTGTTTGAATGTTACCCCAATGTTGGTAACGTGCAGGCAATCCAGAGTGAAGGTGGTTTACCTTTAATAGTTCGAGTCAGTGTCATTGCTCTGATACGTAACACTCGAGGGGATGAACGTTTGCTATTTTATTGTTGATTATTTCAGTTGATTGAACTTTAAGTTGTTGTTTGTTAAATACTTATTATTTGAAGTTGCTTCAGTTGGACGGAGATGATATATTCTTTTAAGTTGAATAATTGGTTCCGCTGCATAGTTATGAAAGTTGTTGTTTTCAAAAGATTAAATTATGTTGTCGTCGGTTCATCTAATTTTAATGTGTTATGTATCTGTAATGAATGTTATTGTTTTAAGTTGAAATTGTAGCATCCTGATTTAGCTGTTCAATTTTTATAACTCTGATTTTATAATAATTATCGGGTAGAATTAGGGTGTTACGTCATACGCTTTCATATTTCTCTAGTCTATATTGTTGAAAATCTGTTTACATTTCGCTTGTGTAGAAGCATATCTTTTGTAAACAAACTTTGTTCAAACAATTGTTAGATTTTCCTTAAGGGACCAGTTGGTCAAAATCCTTGAGAAGTCTAAAATTAATGTGTCTTAGAGGTTGTAACGTTAGTCACTTGCAGTTAGCTTATGCATTGTAATAATATGTTTGATTATTGGATTAAGTCCTTGTTGAGAAAGGCGAAATCACCTTGACGGGTGAACTAGACTAGCTTGATAGTTTTCAAGTGAACTAGTATAAACATAACTTGTTCTTTCCTTCTTGCATCTTATCAATATTATCACTAAGTGAAGTAACTTGTTACAGTCTAAAGAGGATTTTAAAAGGAAAAGTTTTTTGGTTTAAAAATTCAATTCAAACCCTCATTTCTTGTGTTTTTCACACCTTCAGAAGATGAATAAATTTCGACTAAAACCTTCACCCATTCGATAAACCCCATTTATAAGAGTATCACGAGTTACACTTTAATTTCACTGAGCCGCGCATAAGGGAAAACTGTTCTTACCTAGGATGAGACCATGGGAATATTGACCCATTCAAATATTGGGTTATGATAAGAGCAATCCAATACCAATAAAATATCATGATAAACAATGTGATCAAAGACATCAACTACAAATGACTTTAGGAAGCAAGGGCTCGATATCTCGAGAACATACTAACTTTTGCCTTAAAATAACATTCAACAAACTAGCAAGATCAAATGAAAGTCGGTAGATGACAATAAATGATAGGACAACACCGACCCAATAAAAAAGATTCTATATTTTAGAAACCCTTAAATTTAGGTATAAAAAGGGGAAAACATCAATTAAGACACTCTTAAAAATCTTTAAACATTTTCCTTGCATTATTTATTCACTGATTTAAGCAATAGACTCTTTACGGGTACAATCCCTCCAATCCAACTAAAGTGATCTTCAAAGAAGAACTACACTGGATGTTATCGTTTATTATACTCAAATCACCTATTGGAATATTTTGATCTAAGCAAGATCAATGTTAATGAATACAAAATAAAAATATTTTATTGGAATGGGTGTATTCCATTTATTAAAAGTTAAGAAATTATTCGTTTTAAAACAATATTCTTATATATTTCAGTCTTTAACACATATATTTGGGACACTTGCTAATCATATAATAATTTTTTTATTATAAAAGATGTTGTTCCCTTTCACCCATTAAGCATTAACCCTAACATAACCTCTTTATCTTTCATCTTCTAATATTTCTGTCTCTCTCAAATTTTTTATTTTCAAACTTTGTACATTTCTCAACTCGTTGTTATTCGATTTCCATTAATTTAATATGTGCAAGCAATTTTCATTCCACTTTTCATTTTTCTCATAACTAAGTAGGACGACATAATGCACATCTCACATCCCCTAAACACCATCACATGCTCTTCAGGGTACAACCCTGTCCCCAATTGACCTCAATAGGAACCCAACAAAGAACTTTAAACATTGTCATTGTACTTTTATTCGCCATGTATGATCAAATCAACAATCAAAACGGCCCATTAAAACAATTATTTTTTCATCGTCTTTATTAAAATTTCCTCTTTATCATTTTTATCACATTTTTATTATTAACTGTTATTGTAAAATAAAACCCCACCAAAACTTCACCCTTTTATCCTAACGAAACCAAAACCCTAACATTTTCTACTCTGAAACCTAAAAACCCTAAATCCCTTTCAATTTCTCTCAATTTCATGAAATCACCTTAAACCACTTCTCCCAATCCGTGTTTCCGAAAATGTCACACCGCGGTGGCAACCCCAACGCGTCGGCGGCGAAAAGTGAGCTAACCGGAAACGGCACAGTTTCCACTTTGGCGAATTCGAGGCAGAGACTGAGGTTGAATCCGAACAAGGAGCACAAGCCAGAAGTTTACGCTGATCTGGAATTGGATTTCAGTCCTTCGATTTTCAGCTCGTTGGAGAGACACCTTCCTCCCAACATGCTCGTTAATTCTCGTGATGATAAGGCTAAGTTCATGACTGAGATTTTGCTTAAGTATCTTCCTACTGGAGAGCGTAATAGAGTATGTTTTCAATTTTCACGATCATTGTTTCCTAAGCTTTTCTTTTTTTTTAGCTTAAGTGCTTTTGTTTGAATTACATAATTTAATTACTGAAAAAGTTGTAAGTCTTTTTATTTTTATAAAAAGTTTAATTGGGGATGAATTATAGCGTTTTGTTCAACACTCCCATGTGTGATGTCGGTTTCGTTCAACACCTGCATTTGTTGTTTTTGTTTCTCAAAGTTAATGTTATTGGGTGTATAACGTGCGTTTTGTTTAACACTCCCATTTTTTTGGACGTGATATATAGAATAACAACAGCAACAAACATTCAAATTAATGCTAAATTGGTTTGGATTATCACCTCACTTTATTTCAAAAGAAAAACAAACCAATTAGATTCGGTCTGGATCTCAAGTTTATCATTCTTTTTCCAACTTGTAACAGTTTGATCCCCAAATCAATTTTTCTTTAAAATTTGTATATTTTGAATAGCAGTACTTGGAAATCTCCTTTACATTTTTTACCTTTATTAATTTATAATCTCATTTACAATTACCAAAATTTTGTTATTACATAGTGTTTAATTTATATGCAAAAGATATTTTTACAGCCAATCAACCATAACTGCTCAATCATAACTGTTCGATTGTTAGAATTAGTTGACATTTAATCCTATCTACTCTGTCATACAAATGATGATTTACGATTATTGGTTGACAGTATAAGTTTTACATCGACAGTTCGTCTAAATTAATTAATATACTCAATGTAAACATTTTACATAGTAATTGTCCAATTATATCTCACTATAGATACCTCTTTTTTGTATCACTTCCTAAAATAACCCCACAATTATGTACACTGTAAGATATGGTTGGATGACTTTGTAAACCTTTTATACCAATTAAATATGACTGGGCTGGGGTTGAAGTACCTTTGAGAAATCTTTCATTACTATCATCATTATCAATGATAGTAATATAATTGTCTCACTTTTATTGTTTTGAATATTTTACAATAATTTATTGATGTTTCCAATGCTATTTGGCAGACTCAGAAGCATAAAGAATACAGACAGAAGATAAAATCGTATTATCAGGTGTGTAAGTAGTAACCAAATATCATAATTTTTTACTTTGGCTACTTCTGTTTGCCTGTATTACAACTCTAGGTTGAAGAGATGTTGGGTGAAGACATTAAGTGCTATAAGAAAATATAGATCTAAAAAGAGAAAATGATATTAATGAGTGAGAAAGTGCTTGGTACTCATATATAGATGAGTAGGTCACACAGCAAGGAGGCATTTACAGAACTGGTAATACTTTTACCGATTCAAAAAGAAAGCTGACTAAATGTTGTATGATGAGTGATGACTGTACAGAGGGCTAAAGCTAATTCAGTAGTTAAAAGCTCAAGAAGGAGTGAAGACTGCAAGTTGCAGTACTCTATTAGCCTGACATTAATGTCGAACCTGATAGAAAATGTTTGCAAGACAGCGAGGGATGAGAGAAAGAATTATTATTATTATTATTATTATTATTATTATTATTATTATTATTATTTATTATTATTATTATTATTATTCTTAATGTCTTACATAAAAAGGTGTAGAAACCTAATAATGAGTCCTTCTTCCTGAAATTTTAGGCATTTAATTTAATACAGCCAGATTTTGAATGCACATAATGTGTAATCATGCAACCACCAAACTATACACCTTCATCAACTATCATGTTTCTAACCACAATATGATGTGAACAGTTCTATTTCCCTGTTTATCTTGCCATAGGTTAATATGCATTCTCTTCAAAGGAGAGGATTTTTATTTAAAAAAAAAGGGAAAACAGAAAAATATCTACAAGAAAATATTCTAATAAATACTCTCATCACCAATACATGGGGTAGACCCACTCCTTTAAAGTCCTGGTGTACTCACCACTCCTTCATTGAGACAAAGTTGGAAACCTGCAGTTTGAAGAATATCTAGAAATATGATGATTGTTACTTTTGGAGATACATTCAAATTGATGCCAAAATAATTATTTTCTTCATTTGTGATGCTGCTGTCCTTTGTGGCGGTCTTTTTACCAAGACTTACAAGTTTTCTTACTAATTTTGTAGCCTTTACATCCCGAGTTGTACACTTTGAATCCTACTACATTCTTTGTGCCGACATTTCTCAAAGCAATTAGTGATAATACAGAGCAAAGCTTTAGAAGCATAATATCTGAGCCCTCTTCAGACCTTCTTGTATTTCAAATGTTTCAGCCAGATTTCTGTGAGTTGTTGCTATCTGAGGTACTTTATCATTTTAACTATCTTTTTGTCGGTGGTATACTCAATATCTCATCTTTTGAATCCATAGTTGCAAGTGAATGCTTTTGTACATACTGATGTTTTGTATATGGTAAAATTATTTTTGGTTTAGATTGAACATTTTGAGAGATGGGTGACTGAAGCAAATTTCCGGATCATGCGTCCCAATAGAATGAATAAATTTGGTGCCGTGCTTGATGACTTTGGACTTGAGCCGATGCTTGACAAGCTTATGGATGATTTTCTTCGTCCTTTATCTAGAGGTGATTGTAGACTGCTTAATCAACATTATCTCATGATCATATTTATTCTATCAAAATGATTTGATTTTAGGAGTTTTTTTTCTTCCTTTTATTTCTTTTTGACGATTTGTTCTGTTGGTTTTATTCTATAAAAATGATTTTAGGTGGCTTTTTTCTTCTTTTTTTTTTTTGTGAAGATTTGTCCTGTTTATTGATTATTGGTTGTTATTCAGTCTTCTTTCCAGAAGTTGGAGGATCAACCCTGGATTCGCATCATGGATTTGTTGTAGAGTATGGTAAAGATAAAGATGTTGACTTGGGTGAGATTTCTACTTGATGAGCTTTCATGACAATTCCCATATATACTATATGCATTGTTATTTCTATGCAGATTTTTGGTTAATAAGAATTTTGACAACTTAAAAATGCTCCTTTTGAAGTTTCAAAATCAAATAAAGCCTGTATCGGCTGTGTATGTTTTATTATCAGTGGTCGATAGTTTGTTGATGTTGGATTCATATACCGGTTAATATACACCTGCATTCCTGATGTTAATGTGTATGATGTCTTACAACTTAAAAGTTTTACATCTGTAGGTTTCCATGTGGATGACTCGGAAGTAACCTTGAATGTTTGCTTGGGTAAGGAATTTTCCGGAGGGGAGTTGTTTTTTCGAGGCTCAAGATGTGAGAAACATGTAAATACAGGAAGTCAACCAGAAGTAAGTCACGGGGATGGGATAACAGAGAACAATTTTGGCCCATGTAGCTATAGATTTCTTGGCCTAGAAAAAAGTAATATATACATAAAAAAGGTAGTCTGATTAAAAAAATTGGAACTGTATTTGGGCTTGGCATGATTAACAGTCCGGGCCCTTGTAACATCTTGGAAGTATAAAATAATGCTCCTCAGGTGTGTTTTACAAGCTGGACTTTGTTTGCGTATCCATTTTTCATTGTACATTGCATATGTTAGTTTTGATAGTGAAAACACATCTAAATGATGGAATTAATCATTCAGAACCATGTTCTGTTCCGGGGGAGTTATATAGTGTTGTCTATTTACTATTGTAAGAATATTTATGGACAATTCATTGCTTCTTGCTATTTCTCATAGGTGGTTGTACACTTTATTTATGGAGTCCATTATTTGAAAGCAGGAAGTCTTTGATTATTCTCATGCACCGGGACGCGCTGTGCTCCATCGTGGTCGACATCGTCATGGTGCTAGAGCTACAACATCTGGCCATCGGATCAACTTCCTGATGTGGTGCAGAAGGTAATTTCATCTGTTGGTTAGCTTCATTGCTACCTCAGTTTGTCCAATGTTCTTGTATATCCTTGGTTGGCAAGTTAATGATAATGTTTGCATTATTGAATTGTAGTTCTGTCTTTAGAGAGATGAAACTGTATCAAAAAGATTTCTCCAGCTGGTGTGGTGAATGCAATCGAATGAAACAGGAAAGACAGCACTCCACATGTGCTGCTACAAGATTGGTAAATTGAGTTTTGTATTCATTCGTTACCGCATGCTTTGAAATGGGTGGCTGAGTTTTTTCTGAATATAACCAAATGATTCTATGATATTACAGGAACTGATCACAAGGGAAGGTGAATCCGCCGCATAGTTTGTTAAACCCGGTGGATGGATGTAAAATGTTTTAGCTGAAAATCACTAGTCAAGTCACTAATGATTCCTGATCCAGAGGTCTATGTACAAGCTATATGTTGTGTTGAGATACTTAATATTTGAATAAACTTAGATATTTGCTAAAAAATTGTAATGGTTTCTCTGAATCCTGATTGTGATTTTTGATACATAAAACCCCAATAACATGACTAGTGATATAACTTTAGGCTGTAATTAATTTCTACTGATGTTTCTCAGGTTCATGTTCATTGCATATTGCAACATCTAGTTTTTTATTATTTTATTTTTAAAACCGTAATTATTTACTATTTATGGGTTTGAGTTTGTTAAAAAAATAGATTATGGGGTTCACATCATATTGTGATGCGGGAAAATCATATATTTTTTCCTTTTGAAATTAGAATAAGACTATTTAATTTACTTTGTGAAATACAATTATTAAATAACGTATGCATTCTTTAGGAACAGCCTTCCACCACGGAAAATATCAGTTCATTTTTGTTGCTGTTTTAACAAACATGGAAGTTTATAATACATACATATTAGTCTTAGAGTAAAGTGAGTTCTACATTTTATATATTTATTAATGAATTCAACAATTTATATATTTTAAATTTTGGAAATAAAAGATTGAGTCTTTTAAAACTTCAACATCTTTTTAATTAATATAGATTTTACTTTAGGGGATTGCATATTGCACCTTTAGTTTGCCCATACACTAGTGAAAATACAAAACGTTTAGATACATCCGAACATGTTTCGAGTGATATTATTGTATCAAACCTTCCACCTTTCCCATTTTCAGCAAAACTTCTTATGAGGCAAAGCAAAAGGTGTGTGTGACAACTACCGTCATTTTTCAACCCTGCTCAAAATTTTTATTTCATGTTGTTTAAAGTATATTAGGTTATAGTTACACTAATCATTAGGTAGTTTATTGAGGTATGCATTGACATTTAGAGCATAGGGCATGAGATATTTATGCGTTTCAGAAAAATATGAAAGTTCACTTATGTATGTTGTCTCAATTTGATTTTTCATGAATATGTAAGTCCACTTTCGTGATTTGTTTGCATTGTTTGATTTTGCATGTCTATCATTTAGATTTAGTTTTGTATGATTTAATTATGGGTAAAATGAGTGATAACCAAGATTGATTGAGGCCAATAGAGTATTCCAGCATGCATCTCTTTGTAGGAAGAGAGATGACCATCACAACCACCAGTGTTGGAACAAAATTGATTTGTACCAATGTCCCTAAGGTTTCGATGATAACAAAGTATCTAAAAAACAATTGGATATACTAATGTTTGTTCAAGCGTGCATGACCATATATTAAAATCTGTGACAAAAACTAAGTTCTAGCATTGGAAGTTGAACATTAAAGAGAAGCTGAAAGAACTAGAATATGAAGGATAAAAACTTAAAGATTAGATTTTGAAAAGGTCAACTTCTGAAGACCAGAGTCTAAAGAAAGTCAATCCTTGAAGATCCAGATTCAAAAGGCTCAGATTCTGAAGAGGTCAAAGTCCGAAGATTAAACTATGAAGAAAGTCAACCTCTAAAGATTCAGACTCTAATCAGTTAAAGCACTTGAATCAAGAAACTCTGGTAGGTCTATCAGACTCACAAAGCAATTTGTCTTCTTCTAATCACGTGAAGATTCAACAGAGTTACACAGAAGACAGAAGGAATACTAATTCCTCTTCAAACAAAGAAACTTCAAATGGCATTTCAACGACATTAACCATATCGGAAAATTTTTCAACGTCTATGATGACGCGTCTCCAAAAGACTCCTTGTGCATGAAGTCTTCTTCAAGGACTCTTTTATGTTCTTCTATTTAAGGAGCTGAAGATTTGAAGAAAACTACAATACTGCACCTTGACAACTAAAGTGTTGTTACTCTGTCAAATCAAAAGCATAAGTTTCACTTATGAATGCTTAACACTTGTATATTCTAGAAATTCCTAAGTCTTAGAGTTTTTCTGTGTTGTATTTAATTTACACCTCTGATTGTATATTAAGTGTAACACTCAAACAATATTTTTTTTCTTAGTTGGATTGTAGAAGTCTCTTGCTTGTGTGTTAGAGCATCTAAAGTCTATTGTCTGTGTGCTTGAGTAGTTGAAGTCTCTTACTTGTGTGTTTGAGAAAAAGGAAGTCTATGGCTTGTGTTCTTGAGCATCTGAAGTCTCTTGCCTGTATGCTTGAGCATTATAAGTCTCTTACTTGAGGATTTAAGCATTGAAAGTCTCTTGCTTGTGTGTTTGAGAAAATTGTAATCAAAAGTGATTATAGTGAAAATCTCTTCTAGTACAAGGGGACTGAACTGCTTTTGATTTATGGGAGGAACCAAGATAATTTCCTATGTCTCTCTTTCTTTCCTCTCAACCTATGAACTGTTTTATACGCTGCTAAACATTAACTCTAAATAAGATTCTTTACCTAGTGTTCAGAATCTGATATAACATTTGAGAAGAGAAAAAATGAGTGAAAAAGTTAACACAATTCAACCTTATTCTTGTGTCTTTCTATCCTTTCAGTTGGCATCAGAGTCCCTGGGTGTGCTTTAACAGTTAACAGTGGTACAAAAAAAGATCCTGAGAAAAAACACGTTTGGTGGTGAACCTGAATATGAAGTTAACTATGATCATCATAATGTGAATCTTGATTATAGTATTTCTAAAATGAATAACTGCATGCTAGGCCTCCAACCTTTAAGTGGAGATTCTACTTAGTTTGAAGGGTGAAAGAGCCATATGTACACTCACATCATAGGTCTTGATGATGAATTGTGGGATATTCTTGAAGATTTCATTTTTATTCCAGTTGATGGAGTAGGAGTGATTGCTGATAGAATGAGTCTCACACCTGAGCCAAAGAAGAACTATAAAAACCATCATAGAGTGCGTGGCATTCGAGTGGATTCTTTACCTCACTCTGAGTATATCAAGATCATTGACTAATTTACTACTCAAACCATCTTCAAATCTATTTGTGCTACTTATGAAGGAAATTAACAAATTAAAGCAACAAAGAAAAACCTTTTGGTCTAACAGTATGAACTGTTCATAATGAAGGAAGATGAAGATATTGAAACCATATTTTAAGGTTTTAAGTTATGGTATCTAGACTTTAGGTTCTAAACAAGATCTATACAACTACAGATCATGTCAAGAATATTCTTAGGAGTCTTTCTATCAAGTATAGACCTAAAGTGACTATCACTCAAGAAGCTAAAGACCTAAACACAATAATTCTTGAAAGTATGATAAGCAATCTCCAAAGTCATGAGATGGAGCTTATTGGAGATGAACCTGCCAAGAAATCAAAGTCTTTTGATTTGAAATATGTTGGTAAATCTGCCAAATCTTATTAAGTCTATGAACCTGGAGAATATACCTATGAAGGAGGTTCTAAAGAGGGTTCATACGATGAAGAAATGACATTCTTGATTAAGAGATTTCAACATCTTGCCAAAAAGAACGAAACACTCTTTGGAAGAAGCAGTGAATTCAGAGGATTTAGCTTCAGAGAAAATAAAGATGACTAGAAGGGATGCTTCAACTTCTAGAAGCCTGATCACTTTATTGCTGACTGTCCAAAGTTACAAAAGGACAAGTTAAAGAAAGGAAGATTTCAGAAGAGCAACTTCAGGAGCAAGGTCAAGAAGAGTTTCATGGCAACATGGGATGTACTTGACAAAGAAGAAGAGGCTGATGAAGAAGAAGATAACCAGGCTTTAATAGCTCTAACATCTTTTAAATCAGATTCTAAAGAAAAAAATGTATTTTCTATACTTTTTCACTCTGATCTAATTTCACTAATTCAAGACCTTATGGAACGTTGTCAAAAGAAATCCAAATACATGGAAATTTTGAAAAAGCAGTTTGAAAAAAAAACAAATGAATTAAAATCTCTTCAAAATCAATATGATGACTTAGAAATAAGTCAAAGTATTCATGTGTATAGTAAAATTCCAAATGAGCATGGGCTTGCTTTATAGGAATTTCTCATAAGTGGTTTTAATAGTACTGAACTTGCTTCCATGGTTTATGGTATTAGCAGGAGCAGAGGAGAAGGAATTGGTTATTCTCAAAAACCTGATAATTCAAGGATGGGAACCTTGAACAAACCAATGGAACCTTCTTTCTCTAGCTCTGCTGTAAAAGGGCTATATTCTCATTTTTTACCTTCTTCTGATAGGGCAAAGGTTATGAACCAGTTAGAACCAAAAGCTGAAGAGTCCAAGGTATCACGCTATGAAAAACACAGACTCGCCACCAAAATTTATTTATCCCCGAGGAAGGGAAAATATCGAGAAAACCTCAAAAGAAAGGATAAGATTGTCTTGTGACCAAGAGAAATGGTACAAAAGTCGATTACGCAAGAGGAAGGTATTAGCACCCCTCACGTTTGTGGTACTCCATGGGATCCACTCTTGTAGTTCTAATTAAAGGGTGTGTTATATCTAATAATTACTTGCTAAAGAAATGCATGCATGGATTGCTTAAGGAAAATGCAGGGAAAGCAAAGGTTTTAAAGAGTTGTACTCGCTTAGGCCCTACAACCTAATGCCTACGTATTCTTTTTAAGGAATCAGTGCGCCGTAGTTCAGATCAAAATATTTTGGTTTGTTGTGTGTTTTTTATGGGTGACGAACCCTTTTGAAAAGGTTTTGAGTTACACCCTCAAGGCAAGGTTCCACACTTTATTTGTTTATATTTTGTTATTGTGGAAAGTGTTAAGTATGCTTAAGTGTTTTGAATTTGATTTAAGAAAATGATTTTAGTTTTATTGTGTAATGCAAAAAAGAATAAAAATATAAGGAGAACTATATTCCTAATGTTAGCATGTAATGTGGACCTAAAGTTGGGATTGAAATTGGGAATTCTACTTAATTATTGTTATGCTTGGTTTAAAAACCTAATGTCTAACTTGACATAAAACGATCAAATGAAGTTTAATCGCTTA